TCCACGTGCACGCCGATGCATTGTCTCTGATTCGGTGTGCTTTCCTTGGTCTCCCAGAATAGTAGCTAGGTTGTTGACGCTTCTTAGGGTGCCTGGGTGGTCAGGTCCAAGTATCCTCTCGCGCCCCTCCAGTCCGTGCCGATTCATTATCTCTGCTTCATCATACTTTCCCTGGGATTGTAGAGCCATAGCCAGGCAGTCGGTGACCGCCATGACGCTGCCACTATTTGGGCCCCGTGATCCTTCAATATCCTCTAATAAATCCCTGAAGATCTCCTCGCCTACTTCCGCCTTCCCTTGCATTATGCTTATCCAACCCAGGGCCATAACCCTCTCGTAATCCTCCTCATCCAAACCTTGCTCTTTATTCTCTTCTTCTCGGGCTGCAATACATCGACGCAATTGAATTTCCGCATCATTGTAGGAACCAATCTCTTCAAAGTAGCGTCCCAGGCGGAAACAAAGCTCTTCGGCGATGGGATCAGTTGAATCTTTGGTTACTACAATTGCATGGGGAATGTATGCAGAACCAACATATCTCCCCGTGTTCTCATCCGGAACGAATAGCCTTGAAACCGCTTTCAACGCAGCGGCCCTCCACAGTTTCAACTCTTCGGTTGGTAAATAGACTTGCAAAGACAGTTGAACCAAACGGTGAAGCTCGTAAAATGTCTTGTGTTCAAATTTGGCAGCGGTAACTAGTGAAAATCCCAATAACTTTCCAATGGCCTGACGAAACTGAATTGGGTCATCTATCCCTTCCAAACCGCTTTGGGTCAATAGCTCTTGGGGTATGTTCTGGCGATCGAAGCAGACCATTAGGCGCAGAAGTTTGGCAGCTAAGGGCATCTGCCAGGTGATCTGGTCAAAAGTAACAAAGTACGTCGCAAGGGTGCTATCAATTAGATCCGCCTCGCGTTGGATGTCCCAAAATGGCTGTGAAAGGAGACTCTTTGCTCGTTCGTCGCTTTCTTGGAATATGGTCCAGTAGGTGGATGGCGGTGTTTGGGTTTCTATCATGAAGGCCGCTGCACCAACGATAGCCAGTGGGATGTGCTGTACGGACTCGAGGATCATCGTGATTGCCTCTTTTTCTTCCGCAGCGAAACTGTCCGGGTTCCCAAACCGCCTCGACAACAGGACTCGTGCCTCATCCTCCTCCATTTTTCCAACACATATTTTCTCGCAATCTTGCCAGGATGCAACCCGGAGTGATCTGGTGGTGAATATTATTGTACCGCGAGACCCTTGTGGTAAAAATCTGGAGATGTGACCACTGTTGCCGGTGAAGTCCTCCTCGTTGTCGGCATTGTCAATAACCAGTATCCAATCACCACTGGCTGAACCTTCAAACCACCTCTTTATGTTTAACAGGAATCCCTCTTGGTCCGTCTCGGCCCCGGGTAGCGGAATTCGAACATGTTGCGCAATAGCTCTGAAACCCTCCCTAAACTTTTGCACCCCACCCCCGTGCACCCAGTAAACATCACACTCGCTCTCGCTTGCGCACCGATAAACGAATTCGAGGGCAATCTGAGTCTTTCTAAGCAAGGTTAGTAACTCCCTCAAATACCAATGAAGAGTGCATACCCGGAGCCGCCCAGTCCATGAAGTGCAATGCGGTTGTGGGCGTTCCCCTGGGAGAGCCTTTTTATCGACTCAATGAGATCTTGCCGGCCAGTGAACTTGCTGTTTCTCCGATAGGGAATTATCCGATAAGGCCTTGGTTCATGTTCTAGTTGCAAAGGCGCATTAGACCTTTGCCGGAAAGCACTTGGAAAAGCTGGGAATACCTCTGTCCCCCGCTCCTTGCACATACTGGTGATATATCTGCCCGATATTGGTAATGGTGTACAGGTTCCCCGTGTATATGCGATTATTATTATTATAGCTGCCGGAAACATTGTGACTCCCTGAATTCCCGCTGAAGTCTCCGCTGATATTGGCTTGGCTTTTTCAGGGAGGGTTATTAGACGGGCGCTTCCTATTTTTGAACTCATACACCTTAAACGGAAGGGGATCCTACCGATCCATCAAGTACTCAAGTATTTAGCTCTCAGCCGGGCCGTTTTTGCAGGTTGGGTAGAAAAGCAATCAGATGTGGCTAGCGTATCTAAAACGGGATAGGAAGCCGATATGTCACCAACGGAGCTAGTTCAAAATGGTTTCGCTAGCCCTGAAACAAGTCAACACCGTAAGATATGGTATTCCAAAATGTGTAGCCGAGGACCCCACCTTGGATGTGGAGATAAATAGCCGACTATTTTCGAGGGGGATACGGGGTGGGTATCAGAGCGGTAGCGTCTCGGGAAGATCAACTCCCTGTTAGCTGATCGCGCGGGGTAGATGAGGGAGAAAATCAAACAATGGATATTGTTGCTACATAGCTATTATAACTCCTTGATAAATTTATTTTGGGCGATGTCCCCACAGTTGATTGCACTTTGCTCGTGGCCTCGGCAGTGGCCGGTATTTGGTGCATCCCTCTTCACCCCACTAGAAATGCTCGTTCATGAGACGATAAGGTGACTACAACCCCCTGACTGCAAAAGCATTTTCCTGTATCCTACGGTCGCTGTGCAGTTTGGGATAGCGGCACCCGTGCGGTGCTCAATCGCGTGCGGCTCCTGAGAATACAAATTCAAGCCGGATAAATGATGGCGATATGGATGGAGTTCTTTGACCCATGCTCTGAGGAGGCCTTGGCCTCTTGCTGGCCCCTTTTGCCAAATGATCCTCCCTTAAAGCCCAACAGACATCTGAATCTGAACCGGCGCAGAAAACATGGCAAAGAGACAAGACGCAACATGCCGAAAAGAGCTACGGACGCCACATCTGGGGGAATTACCAGCAGAAGTGGCGCAAGCGGCAGGTTCTATCGCAGGTCGCACGCGGCTGGGATGACCTACTTTATCACTAATGGAACCTCATGAGTAAATGGCAAGTGAATGAACTCGTACCAAGACCACAACCCTCCACAACCTAGAAATTATCCCAGACTCCGGAAAATTCAGAACTGACGGGCTACTGTGGGATACGATCTCCAGAACGATCTTCCAATTTTAATGATTGAGGTTTATATGACGTTGTGTAGTTTCATTTTTACTGTCGTGACCACAACCTAGCAATCTGGAAAACGGTTCTTTTCTAGCATGGGAATGGCCCATGAACAAGATTTTTGTTCCAAACCCCATGTTTTTTTCCCATGTTCCCATAGGAAATACCTACTTTCTTTTTCTTTTGGATCATAGTTGCATGAATACCGGTAAGCTAAGTTTTTACCTAAGTTACTCGAGTACTCCAGCTCACGTATCCGGCGCTGCCCAGCCGGTTGCCTTCTCAGAAGAATCCAAAGCGGAGGCACACCCCGGGCGCGTAATCCCTGCACCATTATCTATGCGCCAGGGATTAGAAAAATCCCGGGATACTGTGTTCCCTACCTAAAAGAATGTGGTAACGGCAATAATACTAGAATCCAGGGAGAGTGATATCAGGAGTAACAATAACTCCTGCAGGGATGCTAATCGAGAGGAGATGTCCTGAGAGCTTATTGTTCATTTTTATATCAATCTCCACCAACATGACCGCCCGGTATTGCAGGCCCAGGCCTCTGTAGGTAGTAACAGAATAAGTGGTTAAAAGAGTTATTTATTGTCAGGCGTGGAAAATATTGTCCAAACTTGGAAAATTCACCATGTGGAAGCCCTCCGTGCATTGCCTTAACCAGGAAGGTGTGTTTCTTGGCCCTGGGCACCGGATCGGCATGGGGTAGCGACAGAGAAACGAACATGCGAACAAATAACGAGGGTAACGAGCGAACGAACGAACGAAGCGCTGTGAAATTGAACGAAAACCGGTGAATGTTGAAACGGCACCAATGGGGAACAATGGGCGCCACGAAACGGAACACAAAGGCCTCACACACTAAAACGATTGCACAACTCACGCGCGGGGAAAAACTCTTTTCTTCGTCTTCTCTATGACTATTGCACTCAACTAACTAACGGTAAAGACTGGAGCATATATCAATGACAACACAACACAGTCCTACTACCCCTTCGTAGACTACCACACTTGTCCACACTATTGCTCGTATGCCCCCTTTTGCTTTTTATGACTCCTGTGCCAACAATGGAAAGGCCAACTCCCGCTGTCCATAGCCTCCGGCCTTCCTCGTGGCCTTTTTGCTTTCCTTCCAGCGGATACATTGCTCTGGGACTCCCGCGCATTCCCGCGGCCGACGTGCTTTGCCGAAAAGCCAAACTGCGCGGGCGGAAACCAAAGTGCGCCCAAAGCCAGAGTGGGGCCGAACCTAAAGTGCGCTCCCAGAGACTAAGCGGGCAAACAGAAAGACCATCGTGAGAGGATTCCGAGTAGTACCTCACGATTTATAACACTTGCCATGCAGGACTCTCTACTTCCGCGCCCAGTCAGCCTTCTCCCAACTCACTATTTACAATACCGATACCGTATATGAAAGGATGCTCCAACGCCAGCTGAAGCATTAGCGCCGGATGGAAAGAAGAACTGTTGTTATCTATTCAGAAAGAGGACAGAAGGCCTCTGGATACCTGGGTCTAGCGTGCAGAGCTTTTCTAGCGTCATGGGAACCCTGACCCTCAACTATACTACAAGTAGCGGTTGTGCGGGTCACCATTACAGCACTCGCGGGGTGGGGGCAGGCGAGTGATATCTTATCACCCCCGGTGGTGAATGAAGGCCGCAGGGACCTTGCCGGGTGAGAATGCATACGACGTCGTTTTCTATTAAACATGAATTAATATCGCTACGGAGAGGACGCATAAACACCCGACACAACACACATGTTCTCCGCGCAACACCTCAATAGCTTGGCACTCAAGAACTCTAATTCGGTATTTTCTCTGTTAGTCCGGCACGCTCTAACCGTGCCAAGGTTCCCACCACGTCGAATGACGCTACGCAACCTTCGACGTAGGTGGCACTCCCCTGGAGTGC